CCATCAATCAGGGAGGGGTTATAAGGCCAACAGATTGAAGTCCATTATCCCCAGGTGCAGGCTGTGTAAAGATGCCCCTGAGACAATCCAGCACATAACAGAAGGATGCAAGATGCTAGCAGGCAGAGTATACATGGAACTCCATAAATAAGTGGCCAGCATAGTATACAGGAACATCTATGCAGAATATGGCCTGGAAGTTGAAATCAAAATGGAAGAGGCACCCAGTGGTGGTCAAGAATGACTGAGGTAAGATCCTGTGGGACTTCCAGATACAGACGGACAATCTGGTGGACAAATGGACAAACCGGACATAGTAGTGGTAGACAAGCAGAGGAAGACAGCCGTAGAGATAGATGTAGCGATACCGAATGACAGCAACATCAAAAAGAAGGAACACGAAAAAGTGGAGAAGTAACAAGAGCTCAGAGAAGAGCTCGAGAAGATGTGCAGGGTGAAGGTAACAATGGTCTAAATGGTAATCGGAGCACTTGGTGCAGTGACCCCCAAGCTAGGGGAGTGACTCCAGCAGATCCCAGGAACAACTTCCGAGATCTCTGTCTGGAAGAGCGCAGTCCTAGGAAAAGCTAAGATACTGCAATGGACCCTCAAGCTCCCAGGCCTCTGATAGAGGACCTGAGCTTGAAGGATAGACCGCCCGCAGGGACGAGAGGGGAATTTTATTTTATTTTTCGTTGCTTTCTGTTGGTTTCTTTGTATTTTACCATGCCTGCATCTGTGCATGCATCCATATCAGTTATGGCACCTTGCCAATCAAGCTTCGTCGTGTTAGTTTATAACTTAGCAATTCACTCTTTGGTCACTCTAGCAGCTAAAACGCAGACCTTGAAGTTACAAAAAGATGGTGATGAAAAAAGAATCAAAGTTTGAAATTTGAAAAGAGAAGAAAAGAAGCAAAAACAAACAAAAAGCAAGTCCCACATGTCTAATTAAGTCATTAAAGTTTTTTTTTACACATCAGTGATATGATCCATACTGTATGTATATTACATATATGTTCATATGTTTACATTACCACATCCAAACCTCAAACGTTGGTTTCAGTAGATATGAGTGAATATAACAGAGCTGAAATTTAATGACAGATTTTTCTCTTAAAAAATGCGAACAGCTGCAGACGTTAACTTTTTTTTAGCTCAAGGTCAGCCTGATATTCATCTTAGCATCTGCATCTCCCCGCAGTGTCTTTGACAACCAGCATTCATCAAAACACTCACAATTAATAATGCTGACGTCTCTAACAGAGAACACACTATCATTAAACACCATCAAGGTAAAAAACTGAATAAAAATAACGTGACTGATGCCAGAGGAGTTAGAAAAGATTCAAAGACTTTATGTAAGGTTAACTTTTACAACTCTTCCTGTTTTTCTACTGAATTTGAATTGATCCTTTCTTTCATCTCAGGCTGATGCTTCATTTTGCAGTAATTAGAAACAATATTGCTTTATATTTTTGTGTTTCTATCACAAAGTTGAATTTAAATAATTTTGATTTGTTTTGGTTATGATAAAGTTTTATTAAAAGAAGGTAATATGGCTCTGTGGAGGACTGGTCAGTCATTACCTCAGTAACTGCTGATGACACCACATTCATATTTGTGTTATTGATTTCTCAACAACAACTGGGTAATGGCTTAATCAGTAATGAAGAGAAAACAAACAAACCTGCATTCTGGTTTTACACAGGACTCAAACCCTGCCTTTCCAGGTGAAGGTCTTTTGTTGCCTAACCATGCCGTATCACTACTCTGCTTTTTAAACAAGTTTTTGCTATGCTCACTAGATCTGGCTTGAAAGAACTTGTCTCAAGCCTCGTGAGCTAAGCCTAAAAACAAAACCAGAGGAGGCGATTGAGTCTAGAGCCATATGATAAACAAAGTACATCCTCTTTTTATTCTAAAATATTGCACATTAGTACACACTCGAAAATAATCTGTCAGGGTTCGGGTCCGTGACCCAGTGTCTTGAGTTTATTTTGGATTTTCTTACGTTATTGTAAAAATGCTAGTTCTTGTTCTTGTGCTATTATTTAGTCTTCTCCTCTTTGTTTAACGTTTAGTTATGCCCATGCTTGCATCTCCCTGTGCTTCATGTCTACCGAGTCTGTCATGTTTCTTGTCTGTGTGTTTCATGTTGTCAAGCTTGTGTTATTACGTCTTCGTCTTTCCATGCTTCCTGTTTTATTTTGAAAGGCCTGGTGGTTCCATGTTTCGTGTGTTAGGGTTTTACTTTTCCCTGTGGCGTCATGATCATTTGTGTCAGCTGTGTCTCCTCAGGTGTTTCCACTTCCCTCATTACCCTTCTGTCCTCACGCCCTGATTATCTCACGTTAGAGTTTTTCATGTTCCAGTTCAGGCCCTGTTCATGTCACAGTTTTCATGTTTTAGTTTTTCTCAGTTTAGGTTTCCAGATTACTTTTTCTCCAGTTTGCCTTGCCTTGTTTTGACATCATAGCAATCAAACGACTCGCTTTTTGTTACACTTCGTTTGTCTCCCGTGTCTGCATTTTTGTCCACACCTCAAACACACCGGCCTGCTCGGCTGTGACAAATCTGGTCCATACCAGGTTCTACAACTGCTTAAAGACAGATGAATAAGATGTGACGTGTTATATTAGGTATTTATTTATTTAATAAAATAGCACTGTGTGTTTTAAACTAAGTACACCTCACCACATGGTTCACTGGTACAAGCTAATGAAGTAATGGTTTTCTGTATGACTTTCTCACATTGTTAGGAAGTTTGGCCCACTTTTCTTTGCAGCAGTTCTTCACTTGTCCAGTTTTCTCATTTTAAAACTGGAGGTAAAGCAAATAAGTGGAAGACAAAGGAAAAAGTAAACTATCAAGAACTAAATGTTATGTCCTTAAAAATATGACAAAAACTGAGCAAAGACCTAAAAGAGGACCCAGAGATACATTTGGAAGGCTGTAAAGAAGTCATTCATACAGAAAGGAAACAGATCAAATTGTCATTAATATATATGCAGGACGTCAGAGAGCTGTACAACAGTGAGTGTCTACAGCCATCTGTAAGATGGGTTGGAAGCACAGAGTCCGGAGCCCGGACCTCAACATTATTGAAGCAGCCTGGGATCATCTTGACAGAACTGAACAAAAGGCACCCAACAGCTAAAGAAGGGCTTTGAACAGGGGTGGGCAACTCCAGGCCTCGAGGGCCGGTGTCCCTGCAGGTTTTAGATGTGTCCTTAAACCAACACAGCTGATTTAAATGGCTAAATTAGCTCCTCAACATGTCCTGAAGTTCTCCAGAGGCCTGGTAACAAACTAATCATGTGATTCAGGTGTTGACCTGGCTTTGAATGTCCTTCAAGAAACCTAGAGAATGATTCTTGAAGACCAACTCAAGAGTATCGAAAAATGTGTTTTTGTATAGAGTTAGAATTTTCTCGCCGTGTTTACATGGTTACTCTCATGGTCTGTCTGTGGACTCAGTGGTTTTGGTTTTGATTATTATCTTATGTTTTAGGTTTATTCTTGTTAGGAATTTCTTGTTCTCAGGTTTAGTTTCTGTTTTGTATTTCGAGCTCCTTTTGTTCTGTCTCTCTGCCTGCCTGGTCCCGTGTCTTTGTGCTCCCTCCCTGTTGCCATGTCTTGTGTTAATTCTCGTGTCTGTGCATACCTGTTGTATTTCCTGTTTTATTTTGAAGGTCCTTGTCTCGTCAGCCTGTCACCTCCTGTATCCCATTCCCGGTTTGCCCCTGTGTGTATATAAGCCCTGTGTTTTCTCCTGCTTGTTGCTGCTCCGTCTGCGTTGTCTCCTCGAGACTCCCTGTGTTTCTGCCGTATGATAGTTTCAGGTCAGTTTTGTTAGTTTTCTCAGTTTAGGTTTATCTGTATGCCCTTCTCCGTTCCTCCTGTATTGTGTTCACCTCACAAAATAAAGCTCAATCTCTGCATCTACGTCAGTGCCTGCATTTGGGTCCTTACCTCACCTCCACACGGCCTGCCTCGCCAGCCGTGACAGTTTCTCTCTAGCTTTCTCCCACAGTACAAAGACACATATGGCATTAGGTTAATTGGTGATTCTCAATTGACCATAGGTGTGACCGTGAGTGATGTGTTTTGTGTTAGCACTGCAGCAGCTGACAGATTAGCAACCTGTCCAGGGTGTTGCCTGCCTATTGCCCTAAGACAGCTGTGATAGAAACTCTTGAATTGGTTAGATGAAAGAAAATGGATGAACAGGTTGATTTCCTGTCCAGTGACACCAAAAACATGTTACCTACCACAACCTTATTGAAATTCAGTTCATGTTCATGACATGACCCAAATTTCAATGTAACATTCATTCATAGTACATTGAATTGTGTCAATATAACTGATACAAAACACAAGGTTTATAAAAGATAAAGAGCTTCACATGTACTTTCTGTAAAGTTCAAAGTAGAAGTTGTTCAGATAAATATGCTCATTTGAATTGTGAACCAGAGCATCAGGCATGATAGGACAGAGTCGAGTATTAGCTCTCTGCAAAAAAAGGTATCTTGTGCAGCTGTGCCTCAGCGTTTAGGAGTGCAAGATGAAGGTCAAAACAAATATTTAATTGTTTTTCTGGAAAGTAACACCGACGCAATGCCTCGATTCATACATCAATTAAAAACATGGAATAAATGAGTGGTCCAATCCATTCACAGCATGATCATTAACACTCATTGTTTAAACATGACCTGCGCTTGAGCTGTTAATTTTTTATGAGTTTATTTGAATGTCAACCTGAGTTCTGTGACTCATCAGTTGATCGCCATCATTATTTTATGACAAACGCAGAGTTTGACCTATTAGCCTACTGAACATTTGCGGTGAAACCACCAATTAACCCAGCTTAGAGAATAGTTCTAAATACATACAGGCACTTTATTTCTTCTTCTTTTTTCAAAATACCATATCAAGCTACTTGATCATGCACATATTAGCAAAATATATCTATAATCACACATGCAAGATATGCAGGGTCACAGTTATTAGTAGTTTTAGATTTTTCTTTGCCAAACACATGTGTATGCAGCCACAATAAGAGGGCAGAAAGAGAAGCAGTGTGCTGGTTAAGAGCGGCCTTGAGTCCCATATTGCAACAGGAGTGGCTCTTTCTCTGCTTTCTCAATGTTGGAGAGCTTTAAAAGAATTAAGCTTTGACCATCAGATTCTTGGTTCTTCAGAAATACGGCATTACTGGAAGCAGCAATCTGCAAAATGACATTTACCAGAAAAACATCAGCCAGCTTCAAAGTTGCTTTTAGATAAAAATGCAGTGTCACAGTTAAGTAGGTTCAAATATCTGAGCTTATGTGGTTTATAGTTTGTTGTTGTTCAAGTGTGATTTATTTCTGGAAATAGGCAGCCTCCTTGTGGTCATACACAGCAATTAACTGCAATCACTGGCACTCATTGAGCTACTGAAAACTAGGATAACAGGCTATTTGCTTAAACTCTAACCAGTGGGATACACAGTATTGATGAAGTACACAATTTTATAATCATTTACTAATATGGCCCTTAAGGTTTTTGAAGGTTTTGCATTGTGCCTTTATCTTGTTAATATGTGGTTAATGAACCACAAACATGTGTACCTTAAGTTTGCTGTGAAGATGAGGGTGACAGGCGATGACTGCGATGAAGGAGAACGTTGCCACAAGAATGGCAGCACATGACAGGATGAAGAAAATTTGAGCACCATCTATAATTAAGGAAGAAAGAAGCAGACAGAGTGTGGGTCTGTTGTTAAAGATGCAGTAAAAACAATTATAAGCAATTGAAACTATTATATCTCATATACTTATTCTATGAGTCTCTACTCTCCATGCTACACACTGTAGCTAGGATGCTGTGTTGGCTCTTTATTGTAAATGAATATGGTGGTTTTAGCAAGCGTACAATTTTCTTACTGGCTTTATGACCCTGTTTGGTATAATGATAGAAGAAAGTGAGGCACTCTGTTGTGTGTTAAGTAGCACAACACACTCTAAAACTCAGTCAAAAGTTCCAAATTTGTCCCAGAAAATCTGTGTTTCTGAGTAAGTAGGAAGCGGACGCTAATTTTGGCTCAATAGAAACTCAATAGTAACATCACAACAACGAATCGATTGAGGACAGCAGACATGTTCGGACCCGCCTACTCTGACACGCTTGGATTCCTCCATTTTCACTCTTTCATCTGTGTCTGTGGAACTAACACAGCTAAACAGCACATGAAACATCTCATGACACAGCACAGCTGACCTTTGTTTCAAAAGATTTTGCTGTGTTGATTTAGATTTATTGTGATTGAGTCAAACTTTATTAAAGCAGAAGGTACACGATGACTAATACAAAAATAGTTCATATTTAGAGCCAAGAGAACTTTGCAAATGGCCTTAAACTTGCTAATTCATCTTACAACTCCAGTTTCAAAAAAGTTGCTGGTCTAGTTTTGTTTCATTGTGTTCAGTAGCATGTGTGGGTGTATATGTTCTGATGCTGACGACCAATAAGCAGCATTAACATTGCAAATGGTTTTGCATGTGATGTCTGCAGGCAGTTCACTTTAGGCTACTAAATAATCTTTCTGATAGAACTTTCAAGACCAACAATGCATTGAAAAATGCATTAAAAGGGAAAATAATTGACATGAACATCAGTTCAAAATTCACAGTAAGGTAAAGCATGTGAAAGTATTCATCTGAAATTTACGAACATTGTCCAAATATGCTTATCAATGTGTTTACAACCTGAAACATTTGGACCAGCTATGACGCATTTAAAGTGCAGTTTCTGTGCAATTTCTATGAGCTAAAGGAGCAATGGTAAAAAAAAAGAAAGAAAAAAAAGGCAAAAATGCTTTAAGGATTTTTATTAGTAAATGTTAAAAGCTGCAATGCTGGATAAAATGTGAATAAAAATAGAATGCAGTGATTTGAAAATCTCATATACCCACATATTATTCATAATAAAACTCATAAAAAGTACTGGTTTATTTTGAATTTGATCGCAGCAGAGCATCTCAAAAAAGTTAGTTCCGGAACAGTAAACGGATGGAAAAACAAGTGGTAATAAAAGAAACCGCTGGAAGAACATTTTGCAACTAATTAGGTTGATAGCGGTTCACCAGTAAGCCAAAACTGCATCAAGAAATTGTGGAACGTTCCTTAATGTAAAATTGTGAACATTTTGAATCATCAATATCTCAAATCAAATCAAATCACTTTTATTGTCACATCACATGTGCAGGTACATTGGTACAGCACATGTGAGTGAAATTCTTGTGTGCGAGCTTCACAAGC